TGCTTGATTCAAACATTATTGATTTTATTGTTATAAAGACAAAGCATTCCGCCACTTGCATTCGGACCAAGATCAGGACATCTGAGCATTCGGTAAATTTTCAGTTTTTGATTTAAATAAATGTTTCGCATATAAGAAAGCCACAATTCACAAAGTGGGAAGCTGCCCTTGCAATCAATTTTTATTTACACACTTTTCATCTTTTACAAATTATTAAACCAATGCTGCGATCCCATATTGTGGACAAATTTTCCTTCTAAAGTAAATTGGAAAAGTTGCTGCGTGTTTACCGGTAATACCCTAGGCCGCGACGTGACGCGAGTGGAGGTACACCTGTCACGCACCCGGGTTTAAAAACATAAACAAACGACTGACAAGGCCTCTGAGAGCAATCAGAATGTTCGGAAGAATTTGAGAGAACAAAGTATGCTTTAATGTTAAATGTTTGTAGACATAGGCGACATGGAAGTGAGAATTCGAAGAATGAATACAAATCACGAATTGAAACGTGTCCTGCGAGTGCCAGTCTGTTTCGTGTGCGTTTCTTCTTCGTCCTCGTCTTGTTTTACGCTTTTAACCTTTTAAATAATCATGAACCAACTAGCTCAACCAGTCCTAATTCTTACGAGCTCTTCTGAAGTAAAACGTATTGTCAGTGTTCCATTCTCGAAAATTCAGCGCCGAGGACGAAGAGATTATAGGAAACGCATTACAAAACCTGCCGAGTGGGTGAAGCTAGCTTCCAGGCCGATCTCACTTCGACGACGTCACGGGAGCCTGCGGAGGCCTTGACATAGTCTAGGCGGTGTTGCCTTGACTCGGAGCTCACTCGCGGCGGGCAGCTTCTTTTTCCCTTGGACAGTCGTGAAGGTGACCACCCACACATGGTTGTATTGTGACGCCCCCAGGGCAATCACCTCGGAAAACAGCCCCAAGCCATCCAGGGTGTCGCGGAAATGATGCAGGCGGTAGGGCCTTCCTCTCACGTTAGTGTGTAAAAAAACGGTATTCAAAACTGCCGTACCTGTACGAACTTGCGGCAAAATTACTTGATACTCCTGGGCATCAGATTCCGTGTTCCTGTTACCCCGTCCTTGGGCCGCTGATACCGCTCCGACGGAGCACATGATGACACGTCCCTTCGCTATCGCGTCTGGAAGTGGAATCCCCTTTACTAACGAGGAGGGATGGGAAGAGCGGGAGTCAAACTCGAGCCGCTGAATGCACGTTGCACAGTGGTGGGAGAGAAAAAAAAAAAGAGTTGCCGCCGTAAAAAGATGGGAAGAGCGGGAGTCAAACTCGAGCTGCTGAATGCACGTTGCACAGTGGTGGGAGAGAAAAAAAAAGAGTTGCCGCCGTAAAAAGATAACTCGGGGAATCGAACCCCGGTCTCCCGCGTGACAGGCGGGGATACTGACCACTATACTAACGAGGAGATTTTTTTATTTCTTTATTGCAGGAGGAATGCAAAAACGGTCATGTCACTTTAAAAAAAAAATACTCTGCAAGACTTATTGCAGGGTACATTAAAATCCTCGCATTTCGAGGAGCGGTTTACAAATTTCTAGCCACTCGGGTTTCATTTTACGGTTTGAAAAAACAATTTCCACTTGCTTAACAAGGCTGAAAAAATAATGATGCACTTCTTTCACACTAGGGTCGGCATGACGGACCGCCATGCGCGACCTCCAAATACTGCACAAACCCAACAACATAATCATATCAAAAGGTATGCCATCATCGTTACTCACATTCAAGAAACGTATAACTGATTGGCTAATGCACAGTTGTTTCTTCAACGTGCGCTGGAGCACATCCCAAAAAAATACCGCATCCCAGCAAAAAATGAAAACGTGCTCGATGGTCTCAGGTTTCTTATATAAAATACAGTCTACCGACCACGGAACATCAATACCCTTTCCTTGAAGCCACACCTTAACGGGCAGTGTATTGGAATGCAGTTTAAAAAAGAACGTTTTAACGGAAGGGGGAACGCACATCTTCATCACTCGCTTGAGCACATCTTGGCCCCCGCTACAGACTACAGTTCTATACAACGGGTTTGGAAACAAACTTATCAATAAATTGCGTGTAAGTGTTTTCTTGCTAACAGCAGACAAATACTCAAAAGAAAAACGAGCAGACAAAAATAACACTGCGTCTACCACCTCCTTTTGATATCCCACTAATCTCTTAAGTTCGCCGCCATGGGACGAAACGAGAAAAGATGGCAAATGAGGAGACAATTTGGTTTGTATAAATGTACGTATGAAAGGATGCTCTTGGTCTCGTAGAAAAAAAGAATCGGGACACAATCTGTTTTCAAAACAAATGCGAAAGACCGAGACCACCGTGACGAATCCGATGGAAAAGATTGTCTCTCCTCATCGGCTCCTACTTTGAATTCCAAATAAACGTGGCAAAAACACGGTGAAATTTCTGCACATTCAAGCGAGCACAATGAATGGCCTGTATCACGTACCATAATTTTGCAATGAGAAAAATATTACATGCTGTCGCTCTGGCAAATATGGACAGCTCACGCTGCTTCCAACGGGAAGCGCGTTTGTCCAGGTCGGCGGCGACTCCCGACCAATAGGATTTGCTTTGCCTGTAACAATTTAGTGGCACACCGAGGTAAGTGCACGGCACACGGTCCCAACACACCCCTTCAAACACCGAAGGGGTTGTGGCCCACTCTCCGTGCCAAAACCCACGGCACTTGCTCAAATTTATGGCTGCCCCTGTAGCCTTACAGAAGTCTCTTGCCAACTTCACAGCCGCGCTAATACTTGGCTTATCGCTACAAAAAACCGCGACATCATCTGCATAGCTCATGACTTTTATCTCCTCATTTTCCATCCGGAATCCGTGACATTGATTACTGTTCTGAACACTTAAACCAAAAAGTTCCAAATAGAGGTTAAACAATAACGGCGACAAGGAACATCCTTGTCTTACGAATGTTCGCACACGTATCGGTTCAGTCAATTCCCTGTTCACAACGAGCCAAGTGGTACACTCTTGGTACGCCATTTTAACCCCGTCCAAAATACGCTCGCCCACATTCACGTGCTTTAAAACATCAAAAAGGACATCGTGCTTAACACGATCGAAAGCCTTGTCTAGGTCCAGTTGAAGCATGGCAACTTGGCCCATGCCATCGTCACATGCCTCCAAAACAGTTCGGGCAACGTGCACATTCGTCAAAATAGATCGACCCTGTATTTCACAGGTCTGATGATCTCCAATGAGCTGGCAGGCAACACTCTGGAACCTCCTCGCTAGGATTTTAGCAAAAATCTTGTAATCTACATTACACAGAGTTATCGGGCGAAAACCAGTGACTTGACGTAGTTTTGCAACGTCATCACTTTTGGGAATTAACACAGTGTATGTACGTGAAAAAGACGGCGGCAGTACTTTCCTTTCGTATGCTTTACAAATCACTTCTAAAAAAAGCGGAGCGATTACGCGTTTGTATTTCTTATAAAATTCGGCGCATAGCCCGTCCGGTCCTGGCGTTTTCGAGCTCGGCAAATCGTCTATTGCTCTCTCGACCTCTTGAAGAGTGATCGGCTCTGTGAGGTTTTCCTTCTCCTCTTCCGTTAGTTGCGGCAGGGACTCTAGAAGTTTTCCACACATAGGGTCCTGCCTTCCTTTAACTTGGGTTTCAAAAACTTGCCTATAGTGTGCGACAAACGCCTGCTCAATACTACCGGGGCTCGTGTTAATCACTCCGTTGTACTCGATTTCGCCAATTTCGTTGCGAAGCGCCAACCTTTTCTCATCCGCCAAAAACCGTTTAGTAGGCTGTTCTCCCATCAAGTATTTCTCTGGTCGAGCCCGAACAATGGCTCCGCGGTAACGCTCTTGATGAAAATGCGCCAGGCGTTGCTTAACCGTTTCCAAATCTTTAAGAGCTGTGCCGGGTCGCTCACACTCAGCTCTTGACAGAGCTTGCAAATCTTCGATTAAGCCACGTTCGTCGCAACGTGCCTCGTACGCTAAAATCGACGACCTTTCGATAGCGAGCATCTTTACTTCCTGTTTGATGAGCTCCCGTGCCTCGAATACATTGTCCCTTGCGGTTTTAAAAAACGTTTTGAAGACGTTATCTACCGCTGCAAGAAAACTTTCATCATCAAGCAGTTTTGTGTTAAGCTTCCACAGCTTCCAGTTAAACTTGGCCTTCGGCGGCGCTTTTTCGCCGATCGTTGTCGAAATCATGCAATGATCCGAAAAGAACACTGGTGTGACGCGATACTTTCTTAGCATTGCTGCCGCGGAGGCCGATACGTATACTCTATCTAGGCGCGCATGAGACGACGCTTGGAAATGGGTGAAACGAATCTCGCTCGTTTCATTCGTCACCGTTCCGGCGTCAACCAAGTCAAAGTTTTCAACCAGTTCGCTTAAAACTTGCGCACTCTTGTCGCTGCTCCGCCTCAGGGGCGTCCTGTCTGCTGCCCTTACAACGCAGTTAAAATCGCCCAACAACACAATTGTTTTATCACAATCTAGAAAACGGCGAAAGCCAATAAAAAAGGAAACACGGTCTTTAATCGTACTAGGCGCATACACACAAACAATTCGCCACTGAAAAGACGCCAAGGAAAAATCACACATGATGAACCGCCCTTCCGTGTCGGTGGTTACAGCTAACTCCGACAAGGGCAGGGACTTTTTAAGAAAAAGAAAACATCCGGCAGAAAAACCAACCGCGTGGGTGACACAAACTTCGTACGACTGCAGAAAAGGCCTAAGCGCACTAGCAACCTGTTAATCCTCAGCCATTTTAGTCTCTTGCACCGCTAAGAAATCGGGTTTCTCTTTAAGCAGCAAACGCTGTAATTGGTATTGTTTTTTCCTGGCACTCAAACCTCGAACATTTAGCGATGCGACCGTTATTGCTGGTTGGAACGCACAAATCATGTGTCTTGCTGTAGCACTTGCCTTGGCATTCGGACGTCAGTCTTTGTAACCAGGCGTCAGCCGTCTTACTTGCTGTTGAGTCGCCTCCGGTCATCTGGGGTTAAGGTGGGCGTGGGCTGGAAACGCCCCTTCTTTGTCCTCTCCATCCAAGGGTTGGGCCTGGGTGTCATGCCCGGCGTCGATGGAGGGTTCTCGTCGAGGCCACGCTTGATGGACTCGGTGGTTTCGTCCATAGTGTCGTGACCTTCGGAAGGCGCCTTCTCGAAAGTCGGGGGGGGGGGGGGGGGGGGGGGGCCGGGAGGCCTCGCGCGGGGCTGCGGTCTTCTCCATTGGCGTCGCCGTGGGAGGGGGTGCCGCGCTGCCTGGTTCAGGAATGCCACCAGCCACCTCCTTCTTGTCCTTTACAGGCGAGATTTCAGTCGAGCCGTCCGCTCTAACAGGATGGCTGCAGGGCTCACCAGACGGTGAAGCTTCGTCTTGTTGTCCCTGAGCGGAACGCTCAGCCTCGTCGACATCCATGGTTAGGGGCGAAAGGTCTTCCGCCGCCGCTCCACCAGTTACTCGGGCGTAGGTCTTTACGCACTCCTCCTTCTCGTGGCCGAAACGTGAGCACACCGAGCACTTAGGCACGCGGCAGTCGCGCCTGATGTGCCCGGCACGCTTACAGCGCAGGCAGACCGGCGCCCTCCCCGGGATTACGATAAGGACGTTCGCCCCCTGAAGCCGCAGCTGATGAGGCATTCCGTCGGGCGTGACGCCGCTCTTCAGCGTCATGCGTGCCACCCGGGTAGTCGACTCGATGCCCTCGAATCCCTCGACGCGCCACTTCTCACGTGCGACTTCTATAACCTTGCCGTAGGGTTCCAAAAACTTGCTCACCGCGTCGTCCGTCACATGATACGGGACCCAATGGAGACGTAGACGGACTTCCGTGCTGCTGGGGTCGATGACGACACACCTCAGGTCCTTCACCTTCAACTCTTTGCAGTCGATGAGCCGCTTCTTGGCTTCCGGCGTTCGCAGCGTGGCTAACCAGACATGGTTCATCTGGAAAGCACCGAGCGCCACAATCTCGGACAGGACGGCGCACCGCTTCAGTTCTTGCCGGAAATCTTCGATACGATAGGGGCGGCCTCTCAGATCGCAGTGCAAAATTACTGAATTTAAAATCGTTGCACCCATTGGGATGGGAGGCAACACCACCTTGTAGTCGTCGGCAGACGATGACGCAGCAAAAGTACCGCGGCCAACTGGGGCCGTTGTCGCAGCTCCGTTGGAGCCAGCCATCCTGCGACCGTTCTCGGCGAGTGCCAGAAGCAGAATCCCACCACTATACTAACGAGGAGAGATGGGAAAAGCGGGAGTCAAACTCGAGCCGCTGAATGGACGTTCCACAGTAGTGGGAGAAAAAAAAAAAAAAAAAAAACGGAGTTGCTGTCGTAAAAAGATAACTCCCCGTCGGGGAATCGAACCACGGTCTCCCGCGTGACAGGCGGGGATACTGACCACTATACTAACGAGGAGGGATGGGAAAAGCGGGAGTCAAACTCGAGCCGCTAAATGGACGTTCCACAGTAGTGGGAGAAAAAAAAACAAAAACAAAAAAAAAAACGGAGTTGCTGTCGTAAAAAGATAACTCCCCGTCGGGGAATCGAACCCCGGTCTCCCGCGTGACAGGCGGGGATACTGACCACTATACTAAGGAGGAGAGATGAGAAAAGCGGGAGTCAAACTCGAGCCGCTGAATGGACGTTCCACAGTAGTGGGAGAAAAAAAAATATAAAAAAAAACGGAGTTGCTGTTGTAAAAAGATAACTCCCCGTCGGGGAATCGAACCCCGGTCTCCCGCGTGATAGGCGGGGATACTGACCACTATACTAACGAGGATAGATGAGAAAAGCGGGAGTCAAACTCGAGCCGCTGAATGGACGTTCCACAGTAGTGGGAGAAAAAATAAATAAAAAAAAAACGGAGTTGCTGTTGTAAAAAGATAACTCCCCGTCGGGGAATCGAACCCCGGTCTCCCGCGTGACAGGCGGGGATACTGACCACTATACTAACGAGGATAGATGAGAAAAGCGGGAGTCAAACTCGAGCCGCTGAATAAACGTTCCACAGTAGTGCGAGAAAGAAAAATAAAAAAAACGGAGTTGCTGTCGTAAAAAGATAACTCCCCGTCGGGGAATCGAACCCCGGTCTCCCGCGTGACAGGCGGGGATACTGACCACTATACTAACGAGGATTGTTTTTTTCTTTATTGCCTGCTTAGACATTGAAACGCTATAACAGAAAAACAAAACACACATATATGAAAATGTTAAAAGCGCGTGAACCTCTGAGAGGCCCCGCGGTTACATCTAAAAACGTTTTACATTGACCAATTCATCAAGCAAGGATACCCAGTCGGGGGGCTCTTGCAAAGCGCGATACACTTCGCGTATATACGCGGCACTTTCAATTAAATGATCTTCAGCGGGGCGTATCTTGACATCTGCGTTGTTCACTTCTGTCCTCGTCCTCCAGAGGCTGTGGAGGCCGAGGAGCATGAACAAATCGTACGGAACCCCGCCTTCGTTCTCAAGCGGTAAAAAACGTATGCCGTATGGATCGAGGGGGAGGTCTTTCTTCAACGTTCGCTGAAGTATGTCCCATAGAAAGACCGCGTCCCAACACTCCAGAAAAACATGTTCTATCGTTTCTTGTTTCTTACACAACAGACAGTTAACCGACCATGGGACAAAAAGACCTCTCTCCTCGAGCCATGGCTTAACAGGAAGCACACCACAATGTAATTGAAAGAAAAAGGACTTGATAGACGGCTTAACCGGCATTTTCTTCACTCTCGTCAAGACATCCTGCCCTGGTCTGTCATGATACAGGGACCTATAGAGGGGTACAGGCAAAAGAACATCTACCAAGTCTTTATACAACCTTTTACGAATAACTGAACATAGGTACTCCATTGAAAAACGAACCTTTAGCATCCGAAAAGATAAAACTATTTCTCGCATAAACCCACGAACACTGACACAATTTTGGTTGCTAGACGATATAATAAATTCGGGCAGATAATCCTGCAACAGGTTTTGCAGGACTGTACGCAAAAATGCATTATTCTGATCTCGAAAGAACATAAACCGCGATACAATCTGGCGAATGAAAAGGTGGGACAATCCCAAACCTCCACTACTCACGGAGCGAAACAAATTAGTGCGGGAAGAGCGTTCCCAGCTCGACCTCCAGATAAAAACCGCGAAGACCCTGTGCAGCTTCTGTACATTTAGGCGCGCCATAGATAATACCTGTAAAATGTACCATATTTTAGCGATTATAAATAAATTACAGACTGTTGCTCGCGCAAACATTGAAAAATCCCTCCCCTTCCAACCTTCCGCTTTTGCCCTTGCCAAGTCCGTTTCAACGTCCCACAGTTGCGTAGTATCTCGGTAGTGTTCGAGCGGCACACCGAGATACTTCGCCGGCAAGGTTGTCCACTGGACGTTCAGAAAAACACCTGGCGCGGCGGACCAGTTTCCGTGCCAAAACCCTGTACATTTACCCCAATTTATTACACTACCCGTTTGACTACAAAAGGAAGCCGCGACTTTGACCACTTCACGCAAACTCTCCTGGTCAGTACAGAAGACAGCGACGTCGTCCGCATAGGAGAGGACTTTAACCTCGGTTGAATTTAAGCTAAAGCCGCGGATGCATTCATTATGAATAAGCCCTAAACAAAAGGGTTCTAAATAAATCGCGAACAATAACGGGGATAGGGGGCAACCTTGCCTCACTGAAGAGTAAACATTGATACTTTCGCTGACATTCTTATTGACGATAATAGATGTTGAACAATTCGCATATGCCATCGTTAACCCACCCAAAATAACGGAACCCACGTTTGCGTGTTCAAGAATACGAAAAAGTACATCGTGACCCACCCGATCGAACGCCTTTTCGAAGTCTATTTGCAACATTGCAACACGTCTCTCGAAGGCGTCGCAACACTCTAAAATGCTGCGAGCAACATGGATGTTTGTGCAAATGGACCTACCCTTTATGCCGCAGGTCTGATGTGGCCCAACAAGACAGGTTATAACACTTTGCAACCGAGTAGCTAGGACTTTCATATAAATTTTATAATCAACATTTGTGAGGCTTATTGGTCTATATGATGAAACAGATTGAAGTTTAACTCGTCTGACTTGGGGATTAATATGGTGTGCGGCTTTAGGAAGGATGGCGGTAGCACAGATATTTTATACGCCTCGGTTAATACCTCGTACAGAACTGCAGCGGTATCTTTCTTAAATGATTTATAAAATTCGGCGCAGAGTCCGTCAGGCCCGGGCGTTTTACCCGTGGTTAACTCTTCGATTGCTGCCTCCAGCTCACTGACTGTGATAGGCACTTCTAATCTTTCTCGTACGTGCCTGTCGAGCGAAGGCATAAGCGGTAAAAAATCTTTTTCGAAACCATTATCTTTATGCGGGCACTGACCAAGCAGCCCGCGGTAATACTCTACAAAGGCTTTCTCGATATCTGCCTGTTCGCGCGTTATCGCATTACAGTAAAGAATTTCTTTTATCTCGTTGCGCCTAGCGTGCCTCTTTTCGTCGCTTATGGCACGCTTCGTGGGCCGCTCGCCCAGCCACAGCTTCTCCGATCGCGAACGGACGATGGCCCCTCGATATCTTTCGCAGTCAAGTGATTTAAGCTGATTTTTCAAGTGTCTGATTTCATTTAAAAACTCCCCCGGCTTCGCGCTTTCTTCTTTTACAAGAACATTCAGCTGGTCTCTCAGTTCCTTCTCTTTCTGCCGCTTATGGTGGTTTAAAATGCTGCTTCGCTCTATGGCAAAAAGCTTCACGTCCTCCTTAAAAAGTTCCCAACGTACCCCCCACATTGTTTGCTCGTCCTCGCGTATCTTTCTAAACAATGTTTCTACGTGAGCTCTGAGAACTTGGTCTTTGATAAGGCTACTATTCATTTTCCAAAGCGACCAATTCCACTTAAGTTTTTTCAACTTCCTTCCGATCGTGAACATGACAAGAGCATGATCGCTAAACGAAACAGGTACAACAGAATATTGATTACACATTGAAACGAAATCGAGAGAAACATATGCCCTATCGAGACGGGCGTGGCTGGAACCCTGAAAATGGGTGAAATGGACGTTACTTTTGGACGAAACACAAGCGACGTCTTCTAATGAATAATTCGAAATAACATCGTTCAAATAAAAGGCGCTTTGATCGCGAACCCGGGTCATATCTGCGCGGTCTTCAGGCGCCCACACGCAGTTAAAATCACCAAGAAAAATAATAAACTTGTCACATTTGAGGTATTCACTAATACCTTGAAAAAAAACCTTGCGCTCGCCCTCGCGGGTCGGCGCGTAGATACAAATGACTCGCCAATCGGCGTTAAAAAAGGAGAAATCGCACAGTACGAATCGTCCATACGCGCAGGACAGAACAAAACTTTCCAATACCCCCAGCGACTTTCGCAAAAACAAAGCGCACCCCCCCGATGTCCCTACAGCGTGCGCTACGCATACATTGAAACGAGTTCGGAAAGGCTGCACCATACGGTCCGTCTGCTCCTGGCTCTCGATCTTGGTTTCCTGAACGGCGACGATATCGAGCTCGTGTTCGTCGAACAGACGGCTCAGCTGGTATTGCCGGCGCCTGGCCGACAGCCCGCGGACGTTAAGGGTCCCGACACGAAAAGGCGCATTCAACATTGTCGCCATTCAGGAAAAGAGAGACCGTATGGTGCTTACCTCGGATGAACAGCCCGGCTCTTCTGCCGCGCCGCGAGACTGGCACCCGTCCCTCGCGATCACTGGATCCGAGCCCCTCACGAACTCTGGCGTGCGCCTCACGGCGGAGGCTTGCCGGCCGTCCTGTCGTCCACCGGAGCGTTCGGTTTGACGGGTGCACGTCGCCTCCACAAGGGCACCGTCTTGGGGGGCGGCTCCACCCGTTTCAGCTCGTCGTTGTCCGCGTTGCCGTCGTCTCGGGTCCTCTTCGCTGCCACGCTGCCAGCCGGAGCGTCGGCCATGGCCACGTCGTCAGCAGTCTTCTTGATGACGGATTTGTCGTCGTCGACTTCCGCCCCGGTTGGTGCGGGTGCTGCCGCCTCCGACTCTTCCTGGCACGCCCCTTGCTCCATCGCGGCAGCAGGTGTTTCCGAGTCCATGACGCCTGAGCTCTCTCCTCCTTCTGATGTCGATGGGGTGTTCGCCCCCGGGTCCGTGTTGACCGTGGAGCCGGTGGCTGCAT